AAAGGAGGGGAATCTTCATTTAGCATACACAAATAAGCTACGGGGAAGGTTTTAACGTTCGATTTCTTTGATGAGTCATTTTCTTTGTCAGCGGCGCTTCTAGATGCATGAATTAAAAAATGTAGACATATAACAACAGTATATGATCGAATTTTTCATATCATATTGATTTCAACAATATAAGACGGACTAAAACAAACAAAAAATATGTCACTTCACTAAAAATTACAGGAGATCACAAAGAAAATTGTAGCATGAGGCTATAAAATGCTTTGAAATTTCCACTATCCCACGTAATTCCTTTAAGCAATCCTACAATCACTAGTATAACATACGAAATTCCAAGCACCCCCTATAACGAATTTCGAAATGCCACTTGTGGTTGAAATCCTCCATGTTCTCATAATTTGTTTGTTCTTTAAGAAAGCAAAAATATCTCTCGCATTGCAATACGAGGATAACACATGCGCGGCCTTCATTCTTCTCTGATTCTCTCGTCTTCCCACGCACGGACGAACGGTCACAACTCACAACCCACACTCCCACATGCCACAGCACTCCAAGCAGGCGGCCATGGAGTTGCTCCTTCTCCCTTCCCGTGCCACCGTCTCCCGACGGCTCCAGCCAACCGCCCCACTCCGCCGCGCCAGCGCGGCCACCTTCCGGCCGTCGGCCAGCTCCGGCAACGTCGAGGCCACCACCGGCGCCACGGCGACGACGTCGGCAGCCAAGACCGGCCAAGAATGGCGCGCGGGCGGCCGTCAGGGCCAGGCGCGGTTCGGGCTCGACCTGGACCTGTCCGAGGAGATGAGGCGTGATATGATGTGGCGGATGCTAGCCTTCCCCGCGGCGGCGGTTGCGGCGGAGGCCGCTCTCCTGTGGGCGCTCAACAGCGGCGTCGACGCGCCCGCGTGGGCCGGCAAGGCGGGCTCGGCCGTGCTGTTCGCTGCGGGGCTGCTCGGGTCCCAGTACGGGTTCTTCTCCTCGAGGTGGGACGCCGCGGAGACGGGGTCGGTGGTGGGGTGGAAGCTCGCCGCCCGGCACTGGAACGCCCTATCCATGGCCAGGGGTTCGTCCATGGAAGAGGAAGATGAGGAGGACGACGAGGAGTGGGAGTGGGTGTACGAGGAAGACGAGGAAGAAACTGACGATTAGTTGGGTAGATACCGTCTGTGATAGCAAGGTAATTGGTTGGATTAAACCTTGTACTAAAATGCATGTGACAGTGCCCGGTTTGGTTAAACCACATGCAGTAAATAGAATGGTTACATGTAGGCCTAGAACTACCACTTCGTTCTTTTCCTGTCATTTCTGTATCGACTCCTGTGAATATAGTCACCATACTTTTCTTTTTCTTACAACGTTCACAATTGACATATATAGGGAATATTTGACAATCTGTAAGATGAACAGATTCTAACCCTCTTCTTAAAATTTAAATTGCAGCCATTTCTAATATCTTTCAGTTTCTGTTCTCTGCCCACACGCTAAGGTATTGTTTGTTTGGGCTTCAGTTTCGACAGAATCAGTTAGGGATTCGCTGTGTTGGCAAAGCCGGTTCGACATAATCCCGTTTGGCGTTGAAGTAAACTAGGACGTGCTTCAGCCCAATATCTGAAAATAGCCCGAATCAGATTTTGGCTGGTTTTTCAATGACTGAATGTTTGTTTCAGATTCAGCCTTCTCAAAGCTGTATATTATTTCTAAAGCTGTATACTCTGTAGGCTGTCTTTCAAAAAAACTACTCTGTAGGCTGTAGCAGTCTTGACCAACATAAATAGTACATGGTAATGTGGTGCATCATACTTTTTTGACGAGTCATGTATACGTACGGCAACTTTTGTTCGACAATCATCAGCAGCCGTTGATTCAATTCCACGTACGAGTGAGATCACGTCGTACAAAAATAGTTCGCACTTTAATCGTATGCAGAGCAATTTCGTTTTCTGACTTCTTCCATCAAAATTTCTTACACTGAATAGTGCCGTACACAGATCATGAATTTGATGTTGCATACTCCCTCCGTTCTCAAACATAAGTCTTTTTAAAGATTTCAACAAGTGACTAGTACATACGAAGCAAAATGAGTGAATCTACACTTTAAAATATGTCTATATACATCCGTATGTATGTTATAGTCTATTTGAAATGTATAAAAAACTTATATTTAAAAACGGAGGGAGTATGTTCTAAAGCGCAGCGGATAGAGGCGGTGGTGACGGGGCTGCCCCCACTAAATATATTCAATTATCAAATGTGTGTAAAATACCGTTGTTTTGTTTAGATGCCTACTTTCTTTGGAATTCTTTTCTTCGAGATAGCAACGTGACAAATATTCTTTGGACTCGGGGAAGACAACATCGCACATCCGAGCTACCTTGCTTCATATTTTGTCTACAAGATAGCAAGCGTGACAGAGATTCTTTAGAGTTAGAGAACACAACATCCCACATTAGAGTTATGCTGAATGGAGCGAGGTAACTGTTGTAAATATTTTTTTGACTAATCTAATCCACGAGTAAGCAGTAAACATGGCAAATACAGTATGTATCTCATACCTAAGCATGCTAGCACGTACAGTACATAGAATCGAAACATCTATGAACAATATATATACGGCCAGCACATGAATGATCAGATAGGGGATGAACGAGTCATACCCTCCGGTTGGCCAAGCCAACACGGCGGCGGCCAAGGCCTTCTTCTTGGCGACTTCGTCGTTGGCCATGGAGTCGATGTAGAGGAAGTAGTGGAAGCAGAGGCGGACGGAGATAGGGACGGATCGGGAGCAGTCGCGTCGAGATGCTCCTCAAAAACCTTATTATCGTTCTCCCGGGCAGGATCTCGAACGACAGGGTTCCAGAGGCACCTGCTCTCCCGATCAACCGTACACGCGGTCGTCGGGATGGGATCGTCGGAAGCAGCACAGAGAGAGAAACAGTAGAGACGGCTAGGGTTGTGCGAGAGGGAGTGAGTGAATTGAATTAGGGTTCACTCCACTGGCCAGCGCCTTCTTATATAGGTCGTCGTGTAGATGGGCCTGGGCTCAGGCCCATGACCGAGTCCCTCAACATCCCACAGTTCAACATCTCGGACAGTGGCACTTCCGTAAGCGACTCGTTAATTAATCCAAGATTAATTAACCATTCCTGACCGGCAAAAATAAGCTTCAGCTCGGCTCATTCCCGCAACATGCAGCGCACGCGCATCGTGACGAGGCGTGCGGGGGCGGGCGACGGAGAAGAAGGAGCGCTCATGTACATCTCTTATTTCCAAGCTCTCAATAGCAAGTGGTAGAGCAGCCTTTATAAAGAGGTATCACTCTTCTTACTATAGCAATATGGTGCTAAACTTCCCACACTTCCCACCACTTGTCGTGCACATAAATGAGCCTTAGAGATTAACCAGTGATTATTGTCTTATATGGGCCTAAGCCCATCCATAATCCATAAGTAACCACAAACATGTGCATGCGAGGAGCAAGAGAGAAAAAGAGAAAAACATTGACGTTTGTTGTAATTTGGATGGATATTTCCTTTCAAAGATCTGCTTTTCATGGCAATGCACGGGCATTAAACTAGTAGAAGGACTGATGCGGAGCATCCCTCGACCATCCACATGGACATTCCGTCACCACCACTAGCACAAAGAGGACCAATGACAAGAGCTCGCGCACGTGCCATTGAAACCGAGATTAACTCTTTCCTCTTCGAACTTCATTCGGATTCACACGAGAGTTGGGTCCTACCTCAAATGGAAACGTTGTGCATTCTTAGGTACCAAGAATAATTCCATGAAGAAGCAAGGAGGGAGACCCAAGCACCTATATGGAGGAGGAGAGGGAAGAAGGGAATGAGAAGATCGAAGTTGGGGAGGTCCTGGACACTCCGGGTGCCCGGCCCCCGCTGCCTAGGCGCTGCCCCGGCCCGTCCCGGATTCCCGGTCTCCCCGCGTGGGAACCAACAACCCACCTCGGGTGTCCGGGCCATCACCCACGGGTGCCCGATCTCCTCCGTGGCGCCTGCCTCTGACCGGTATGGGTGCCCGGACTCCACCAATTATGCCTGCGCGCAATTAGGGTTAAAAGACCCTTGTACCCCTGTTTTCCTCTTATTTCGTCCCTAGGCTATAAGACCCCTCACCTAGCTCGTTTTTAGGGTTAGCAAAGTATTGGATAGACATTGAGAGAGCTTTGCTCATCTTCCCCTCCTCTTGGAGATCAAGACCTCCTAGGAGAAGAATCCTTGTGGATTTCAAGGCCTCCTCTTGGAGAAGATTATCATCAAGACCTCACCTCTCTTGGGAGTGGGAAGAACTTTACACTAGTGCTATTTTCCTTGAATTATTCTTGTATGCTTGTGGATCTCATGTATGCTACTATAGTGGATGTGTGATTTGGGTTTGTTTGAGTGATTCTCCTCTTGTGTTCTTGTGTGTTCATCACTTTTTCCCCCTCCAAGTGTGAAAAGGTCTCACCTAGGGTTTCACCCTACAACATCTTAGTATCATGAGCAAGGTTGATTCACATACTGGAGTCCCTACCCCCCATTTGCTAGCTTGATTTTGTTGTTTTTCGTCCTAATTCGAAAATCCCCACAAAAATAGCCCCTAAATTTTTTTCTTACAATTTGTTGGATCTTGTGAGATTTGGCTGTTTTGGTCCATGGATTTGTTGTTTCACTGGTACGCGTCGGTGCTGTACAAATGGTTTTTAACCCCTTTCCGCGACGGCATTTGGAACCGTCACCAAGTGAGTGACTGCGATAGGGGGGTCCTTCCCACACGACCCAGAAACCGTTGAGGATTTTGCCTCCTAGCACACACGCTTGGCAAAATGAGGTCGTGTGCGACCGGAGAGCGATCAAATAAGGTTAGACGTACAGTAGTGCTAAAAAAATCAATTATACAGGCGAAATCATTTCCGGTCGTAAGTTCATACCACATAGTCAGTCCCCGGTAAACGTTTATGTTTGTATATACATCCCACACAGTCGCTCCAAGGAAAACGTTTCTGTTCGCAGGTACATAACACACAATTTTCCCCGTTAAAACGTTTGTGATAGCGTTTCCTTTGCACACGGTATTAATAATTTTGTGTTTGCATTATTGAATGCATCACACACGGTGCATAGAGGAAACTGTGTGGCAAAGGTTGTCCATCACACACAATTTTTTTATGTGGTAAATGTTTGTGCTAGGTATCCTAACGCAAACAGTTTTCAAGAGGATGTCGTGTGTGATTGTTCATTAATCCAACACGGTTTATTCCTAAAAACTGTGTGCGTTGCCTGAGGTCATCTCCCACGGTGTTTTCTAAATAACCGTTTGCAATAGAAAAACCCAAATAGCAGGCTAGTTATCCTATTAATAATCCATTTATTGATCTAATTGACATATTATATTAAGCACACAATATATTTCATTTTCATAATTGAAATACATGAGAGTACAGCATCATATAGTTTCAGCACTCAGCTACCCCATTACACAACTGCACCAACACCAAGTTTCACATGCAACATCTATAACCTTTCGAAATTAGCATCATAGACGGTACATAGACAGATGTATCTCATCTGGAAAACTGCTGAAGTAGAAGGACAATATTGAGCCTTCATTGATTTTGAAGGTCTTTGCAACTTTAGGCCAGTGCATGTGGATGATTAACCGTCCATCCTTCATCCTCTTCAGGAACACTTCAATATTGAACCATGGGTATTCTATGAATACCTTCCTCGCCTCTTGACCATACAGGTGGTTTGAGAGGTAATCATTAGTGAAGTGCTTTGGAAAGGCTTGAAAACAAGGATGTGCCTAAATATCTTCTCTATATTGGAAATGGGGCAAAGGAATAAAAAAGGCAAGGTATAATAGTTAGTACCATCCTGTAGTGAACTGATGTCTTCTTCATTCTTCAGACAAAGATCTTGTTGTTTTTTGTCGCTAATTTCTTTATCCTAATAATCTTTCTAAGTTTCTTGACTTGACCGATATTCATGGACAACTCATTTCCCCATATGCAAAAAGGGATGAACAGTGGGTCAAAACCTTTGACAGTACGACCTACATGTGCAAGACCAAATTGTTTAAAACCTAAGTATGAGAATGGTTCTTGCAATTACATAATAATGTGCTATTAGATAAAGGACCATGCA